ACCCTGAAAACATATACTAATCCCGAGAAATCCTGAAAAGAGAGGTTCTTGTTCCGTCTTTCTAGTGATTGTTCAGGTAATAATATTCTTCAGGTGTCTGCTATGTGATACAACTCATAAGAAGGTTTAATTTATAAAGAAAACTAGACATTATTTGTGGAAAGTTATTCAGGATTTATTGATGTATTATAGAGGAGTATTTAGGTGTAGATTATCTTGTTGAAATTAAAGTAGACATTGGGTGTTATTGTCCAGTTCTTGAGAAAAACAGATCATGATCCTGGAAGTGCTGAAAATCCTGAAGTTTTGACCTAAGAGGGCTACTGTAACTAACACGATTTTATGTGACTTTAAAGTTTGGTATTAAAATTAGATTGGTAATATTTTTTAAACATTTAATACTGTATGGTAGACAATGGTCCTGGGGTCAAAATGAGATAGGTGACAGCGACTGGATACTAATACTGTACAGACATGTTTAGAGATAAGTCGAGTTGATTTTCGGTCCTGGAAGAGTAGGAACTAGAATCCTTGTTTATTTCAACTGATGATTGAATCCCCTATTGCTAACCTAACCTAACATTACTTAATCCAATCTAACCTAACCCAGCCTAATCTAATTTAACCTAATCTAACCTACATATTTCACCTGATGATTGAATCCCCTATTGCTAACCTAACCTAACATTACTTAATCCAACTAACCTAACCCAGCCTAATCTAATTTAACCCATATTTCACCTTATGATTAAACCCCTATTGCTAACATATCTTACCTAACCAAACATAACCTCATATATCTAACCAAATGTAACCTATCCACATCTTATCTAATTTAATCTAACCTAACCTAACCAAACCTATTATAAATTAAACCAAACCAAACCCGTCAGGTGTTTAATCATCAGGTGGAAGAAGCGGGAGTTTTAATATTCATAAGATTCGACTTACACATCAGATAAATGAAGATTCTGCTCAACGAACACCATCAGAGCAAGTCACAGTAACGTCACCTATCATCAGTCTGTTGTTATTATTATGGCGAACTGTGGTGTAATGGTCAGCATGCCCACCCGCAAGTGAGCGGACACGGGTTCGATGCCGGGCAGGTGAAACTGTGGACAAAGTTTACCATTTGCCTCTGTCTACCCAGCAGTAATTGGGAACCTGGATGTTAATCGACTTGCGGATCGTGTTCCAGGGTAATGGTTAGCCAGTGCAGTTGGAGAGTTGTCCGGTCTTCTCGGACTATTCCTTGACTGGGTTATGCAGCTCGTTAACTTAGGGTGTTGTTGTTGTGTTGGTGACAGCTTCTACACCTAAGCAAATTTACGCCTAGGTGGCTCTTGTTGGCCATCCTCGTTAACGAGGGCAACCATTATTAGTAGTAATTACACCTCACTTTGAACAATATCAGTATAAATTACACCCCATTGTAAACAATATCAGTCTAGTAATACACCACTGCAAGCAATATAAACAATCTATCACCAGTATACTTCAAACTGTAACGAATCCTGGCAGTACCAGCTACAGTCACCGCTAAAGGAAACACAAACAACCAGTCACCATCAAACAACCACCACGCACCGTAAGCCGTGTTTAAATAAGAGCCAGTCAAAGCTCACCTTCTACCATGCTAATAAACAGGACCACTTAGTAACCTGTCTGGGAACAATAGTCTTGTGGGTGAAATACTGTCGCATGAAGTACAGTAACACCCAGTCATACATCAACACTCACACAGTTATAAAATGCAATATCAACACTCACACAGTTATAAAATGCAACATCAACACTCGCACAGTCGTAAATGCAACTTCAACACTCGCACAGTTATAAAATGCAACATCAACACTCACATCAACATCAACACTCACACAGTCATAAAATGCAACATCAACACTCACACAGTCATAAAATGCAGCATCAACACTCACACAGTCATAAAATGCAGCATCAACACTCACACGAGTCATAAAATGCAACATCAACACTCACACAGTCATAAATGCAACATCAACACTCCACAGTCATAAAATGCAACATCAACACTCGCACAGTCATAAAATGCAACATCAACACTCGCACAGTCATAAAATGCAACATCAACACTCACACCAGTCATAAAATGCAACATCAACACTACACAGTCATAAAATGCAACATCAACACTCACACAGTCATAAATGCAACATCAACACTCACACAGTCATAAAATGCAACATCAACACTCACACAGTCATAAAATACAACATCAACACTCACACAGTCATAAATGCAACATCAACACTCACACAGTCATAAAATGCAACATCAACACTTACACAGTCATAAAATGCAACATCAACACTCACACAGTCATAAAATGCAACATCAACACTCACACAGTTATAAAATGCAACATCAACACTCACACAGTCATAAATGCAACATCAACACTCACACAGTCATAAAATGCAACATCAACACTCACACAGTCATAAATGCAACATCAACACTCACACAGTCATAAATACAACAACACCACCTGACAGATACAATTCAGCAACACGAAACTACATGCAAATTGGAGAACTTTGACGCAGCCGGTATTATGTATGTAAATAAACGAGCCCACCGACGCTCAAGACCTGTATCTGCCCTCCGAGGTGAGACACTCGGCAGGAGAGTTTGGTGAGAAGGGAGGGACCTTGGTGAAATTAGAAGGTTCATTATGAGAGATAAGAGAAATTTAATGAGGCTGTTGCGAGAAGTGAGAAAATTTAGTGATAGCTGAGACTTAAGGTGAAGTGGGGATGTTGGTTAGGACATTATAGTCCGTGATGAGACTTGAGAGGTTCCTGTGAGAGGTGAGAGGTTCCCTGAGAGAGGTGAGGTTCCTGAGAGAGGTGAGAGGTTCCGGTGAGAGGTGAGAGGTTCCCGGTGAGAGGTTCCTGTGAGAGCAGGAGGTTCCCTGTGTGAGGCTTGAGGGGGTTCCTGTGAGAGGTGAGCTTCCCTGTGAGAGGTTCCTGTGAGGAGGTGAGAGGTTCCTGAGAGGTGAGGACCTGTGAGGTGAGGAGGTTCCCAGTGAGAGGTTCCTGTGAGAGACTTGAGGAGTTCCCTGTGAGAGGCTTGAGATTTCCCTGTGAGGGTGAGAGCTTCCCTGTGAGGGGTTCCCTAGAGGTGAGGTTCCTGGAGGTTCCCGATGGGGAGGTTCCTGAGAGGGTTCCTGTGAGAGGTGAGAGGTTCCCAGTGAGAGGGTTCCCTGTGAGGTTCCCGGTGAGAGGTTCCTGTGGGGTGAGAGGTTCCTGAGAGGCAGGGAGGTTCCTGAGAGGTTTCCTGTGAGAGGTGAGATTCCCTGGGGGCAGGGGTTTCCTGAGAGGGTTCCTGTGAGGAGGTGAGAGGTTCCCTGTGAGGAGGTTCCCTGTGAAGGTGTGGGGTTCCTGTGAGAGGAGGGGGTTCCCTGTGAGAGACGAGAGGTTCCTGTGAGAGGTTCCCGGTGAGGGGGAGGGTTTCCTGTGAAAGACTTGAGGGGTTCCTGTGAGAGGTTCCCTGTGGGTGACTTGAGAAGTTCCTGTGAGAGGTTCCTGGGGTGAGGTTCCTGTGAGGGTGTGAGGTTCCTGTGAGGGGTTCCTGGGGTGGGGGACTCCTTTGGTGCTGGGATGAGAAGTGAGAGATTCGGTGTTGAGATGAGATGAGATTCAGTTGGTGGTGGGATATATTTTGAGACTTGTATTAGAAAGAGGGCCTTCCCTCCCATCCAATACTGTCTAATATAATATATAGTCGTAATTTATCGGGTGTATTTGAAAAAAAAGGTTGAATAAGGCTTAATTCATGAAACTTTCTTTGAATCTTTCACCATTTTCATCTCTTTCATGATAAGGTTGAAACATAATGCAAGCCCTTTGATACATTATACCTTGCCTTATCAGATTAAATTACATAATACTTACAGTACATTACAGGGTTTCACTTTTATTCAGCCGCGCCGTTCAGAATGACCCAATCAACTACATCTGTGGACAGTCATGTTGTTCGTTGAGCAAAATCTTAATTTATGCGATGATTAAAAATAAATAAATACAAATAATTCGGCTTTAAAGTATTCTCATAAATATATCTGTTAACATTACCCATTTTGCTGTTTAATTCCTGTTTTATATATATCTCGTAAATACAGGTATATGTTTTCTGTAAAGTTACAAGAATTTTTTGTTTGGGCGACTTTACAGATCCATCTACACATTCCACAAGTTTATCTGAATTGGCACCATAATGTGGAAAGGCATACCCAGGAGGGCAGTACTTACAGATCTCGCATGAGATACTCACGGTACAACCTAAATAAATTGATTAGGCGGATTGATAAACTCTTCCCGATGGAGTATGACAGGATGAGAAGAACCTGTGGGATCCTAAAGACAAAAGAAGAAAGAACTTTTACCTCCTCTTTCGTGAGGTGATTAGTACCTTCAAAGAGAGATAAACCGAAGGCCAGAAGGCTCTCCTCCTAATGTAAACAAAGCAGTAGGGAATGGATAGTGAAACTACAATCAACAATATGACAACTATAGGAAATTTCAAATTTGGGGCCTCTTGTTGCTAGAGACAAAACCACAATAACTCCCCGTCATGTGGAGAAAAATACTTATTATTATGGTGGTTATGGCAGGACAATGTACAGTACTCTATTCTTATAAACCTTATCGTTTATTTATGATATTTGTTTATTCTTTGCTACAGGAATTTATTTATTGTAAAATGGAGACTGATTATATATTTTTCTTTATACTTTTCAACAATACTGTACTGTACAAGGTGTTTTCTATTATAAAGGGATAATGAGTATTTATAGTTGTCATTATAACTTATAGAACAGAGTAAGCAGTTGGAATGGTTTAAAAGACAAAGGGTAATATGGATATGTTTTTCCTAATTTATAATGTTAGAATATTTTGTTTATATACTGTAGTGTAGATGATTATTACACTTATCTCAAGTTTGCAAAATTCACGGTTCTTAACTGTTATGATGTGCAAACTTGTAATTCGCAGCGTGTGTGTGTGTGTTTTGTGTGTGTGTATAGTGTGTGTATAGTGTGTGTGTGTGTGTGTGTGTGTGTGTGTGTGTGTAGTGTGTGTGTGTAGTCTGTGTGTGTGTGTGTGTGTGTGGTGTGTGTGTGTGTGTGTGTGTGTGTGTGGTGTGTGTGTGTGTAGTCTGTGTGTGTGTGTGTGTGTGTGTGTGTGGTATGTGTGTGTGTGTGTGTGTGTGTGTGTGTGTGTGTGTGTGTGTGTAGTGTGTGTGTGTGGTCTGTGTGTGTATGTGTGTGGTATGTGTGTGTGTGTGTGTGTGTGGTGTGTGTGTATGTTGTGTGTGTGTGTCTGTGTGTGTATGTGTGTGGTGTGTGTGTGTGTGTGTGTGTGGTGTGTGTGTGGTGTGTGTGTGTGTGTGTGTGGTGTGTGTGTGGTTGTGTGTGTGTGTGTGTGTGTGTGTGTGTGTGTGGTGTGTGTGTGTGTGTGGTGTGTGTGTGTGGTCTGTGTGTGTATGTGTGTGGGTGTGTGTGTGTGTGTGTGTGGTGTGTGTGTGTGTGTGGTGTGTGTGTGTGTGTGGTGTGTGTGTGTGGTCTGTGTGTGTATGTGTGTGGTATGTGTGTGTGTGTGTGTGTATGTGTGTGTGTGTGTGTGTGTGTGTGTGTGTGTGTGTGTTTTGAGGATAACTGCAAGCTTATTATTTTTTCTGCCTGTTATTTATATCGTCCATTAGGTCAGCGTGTCCTGTCTCGGGTATAAAATCACTTTATCCTCGTCTCTGAGCCTCCCGGAATTTTCTTTTTCTCATCATCTTCACTATTTACTCGTTATCTCTGAGATTATTGGTGATTACTGTAACCATTCCAAGTGTTCTTAATATTTTCCCAAGTTCTCGTTCATTTCTGTGTCCGTCCATTCCTAGTGTCTCCTTGAATCTCATAAACAGATGTAAAATACAGTATTATGGTAATGCTTAAAAAAAATCCCAACTATGAATACTAAAATTTAAAGTAAGATAACCAAAAGTCTCCGTCATACAAATTGCCAAGTTTATGTACCAGATATATTACAGTTTTTTAATATATCACTAATTTGTTTCTGATATTTGTCCGTGTGTGTGTGAGTGTGTGTGTGTGGTAAAGGGATGTAAGTGAACGAGGAGTTATGGCCAGTTTTGTCTATGGTAAGAGGATTATTTGTTTATATAACTGCCGTTGCTGCTACACTATCACCATTACTGCCTTGTGTTGATGCTTCTCTGTATACATCTAATAAACATTTGTTATATATATATATGTGTTTTTAATGGTCCTTATTTTGTCTTGCAGAATCTTCAATGAGTCACCTGCACAATGATAAGGTACTGTATATGTTGGAGTTTATTCTTCACTATTGCTTCCGGCGGGGAATATTGTGGAAGATCTTTCGTCCGGGTGTATGTACTCTATGGATGTGGTTGTGTGTGTGTGTGTGTGTGTGTGTGTGTGTGTGTGTATATATTCTTGTGTGAGTCTCTATATTTATGTGCGTGCATTTGTTCACACGAAAACTCAAAGAAATAAGGATGAAATGTATTGAAACCGAGGGTGTGTGATGTGTAGTGGAAGATCTGGGATGAGTTGAACAATTATTATCCTTCAGTCTTGTTGCCTGTGTCCCTTCTGTGGTGACGGTGAACCACACACACGTGCACTCAACTTGTTATACATAATCGACACTTCTCTACCAGTATAATAATACGAGTCTAAAAGTTTAATATAGACGAAAATGTAGTTAAAGGTTGTAATTACATTTTCATTAACTTTCGTGTTTGTAAATAATGGTGTTGTTACTGTTGGTTGTATTTCAAAATCAGTGTTTCTTAAGTGACACAAGAATAGCAATAACACTCCATCATACGCCAGGGATTCTGTACAAATGAACATGATTCGTAAACTAAATACATACAAAGTTTACCTGAACACCTTAGGAACATTTATCAGTATACAGTATGTGACATTAAGGCCATTACATTTTTTAAAACGTTTGTGTACATTTGTATTAGTTATTGATGTATCGTACTTTATCAATACAAACTAGAAGCGTCATGTGGTCAAAGTCGAAGACCCTCACACAAGTAGTGATGCTGGTGTGAGAATGACCATCAAGTCCTCAAGTTATTCGTACCATGTTCATTATCATAGTCGTTAGTCATTGAGGGCAAGAATTCCTTTGCCGTCTCTAAGTAGGTCTATGAACCTCGTTAAGATTTATTGCAGTCACACGAAGATTAGGTCACAGACGAGATAGGCGAGGACATTGTGACTCAAGATTAAAACCTTCTTTTGAAATTCTGTTCCTTGGTGAACCAGAATAAATACTTGACAGTGGGAGACTAGTGTTAACCATTTATTTAGAGTCTATTCATATCTTACTGAGAATATTCTTTTTAAGGTACTGTACTGTATATATAACTACATCTTGTTTTCATTCAGTGTCCAAACGCTTATTCAGTTTGTTAATCGTTGTAGTGAACTCGGTGTAACTAACCTACTGTACGTGTTGTAATTGGATTGCAGCACTGAATAATTCTGTTCATTAACTGACAGACATTGTGAGGTTATGACGTTGGATGCACTGTCCTTGATATAGCGCGAGAGAAAATATATTCTATTCTGATATGTTAACTGTTCTCCTTTTATTGTGTTAGGTTGATCAAGGGGGCGCAGAAACGTGAAAGGTGGAAGAGTGCTAGACAAGTGTACAAAGCTACAGGAAAGGAGATAGAACAACAAGTAGAAATAGTAACACCTGCTTGTTCGTATATTCAATTTACAGCGTTAGTCTACAGAGATCCACACTGATACACATTAATTCACTGCTTAGTTGAGGTGTGAGTTTAGTTTGTATTACCATTTTATCTTATATGAAACTACTCCGCTGTATATACTACACACTCGGTCTTGGAGCATCAAACCTGATATGCCTACACCTAACTAATTTACCTGCATGGTCTGTCCACTCGAGAAGGCCAGGATATGTTACCTCACATCTGACCCAGCATAATATTGTGTCTTCCAGCACTTGATGTACAGTACTGTAGGTGAGCAGTGTAACTACATCCTGTTGGAGGTGTACATTGTTCATTGCTATTCTTAGTGCGTGGGTACAAGGTGCAGTTTACAAACAGATCATCATTAACATTCATCAATATTGGAACCATTACAGACACACAAACAGACCATCACAGTGTTTAAAAACATTAGAATTGTTTACACACACACACACACACACACACACACACCATCATTAGTATTCATCAACATTGGAACCATTACAGACACAGAGACAGACAGAAACAGACACATGAGGAACCATTTGCCTCCCAGGGAGAGATGTTTGGCCAGCTCTCGAACCCGTGTCCCCATATTGACGAGTGGCCGTCGACAGTTCAGCCAACCAAGTATCCCTCCACCTAGCAGTAGCACGGTATTACTAAAGGAGAGGGAGGAAGAGAGAGAGAACACGAGATAAAGAGAAAGAGAGGGAGAGAGTGAACACGAGATGAATAAAGAGAATGAGATGAGAGCACAAGATGAAGAGAAAAAGAGAGGGAGGAAGAGAGAGAGAGAGAACACGAGATGAAGAGAGGTATAAAGAACGAGATGAGAGATGGAAATGAAGAGAACGAGATAATAGATGAATATAAGAAGAGAGAGAGAGAGAAAGCACGAAGAAATTAGAGAAAAATGAGAAAACGAGAGGTGTAAAGAAAGCGAGAGTAAATAAAGAGAAAGCATATGAAGAAATTAAATAAAAGTGAAAACTAAATAAAGAATGAGAAACAAAAAATGAACGAGAGAAGAGAAAACGGATGAGATAAAAAAAGACGATTAAAAAGAGAATAAGATATAACAGGAAGGAAAAGAATGAGATAAAAGGTGAAACAACATGAGAAAGAGAAAGCAGGAGAAATGAGAGAAGAAGAGAGACTGAAATAAAGTAGAAGTGAAAGAAAACTGATATTCCATTTAGTTATTGAAGTAATAACAAAGTTGTTATTAATGTCATTATTAAGTTGTTATCCTTCACCTCAATAACAACCACCACAACAACTACCATCCTATGTTAACAACCACAACAACTACCATCCTATGTCAACAACCACAACAACTACCATCCTATGTTAACAACCACAACAACTACCATCCTATGTCAACAACCACAACAACTACCATCCTATGTCAACAACCACAACAACTACCATCCTATGTCAACAACCACAACAACTACCATCCTATGTCAACAACCACAACAACTACCATCCTATGTCAACAACCACAACAACTACCATCCTATGTCAACAACCACAACAACTACCATCCTATGTCAACAACCACAACAACTACCATCCTATGTCAACAACCACAACAACTACCATACTATGTTAACAACCACAACAACTACCATCCTATGTCAACAACCACAACAACTACCATCCTATGTCAACAACCACAACAACTACCATCCTATGTCAACAACCACAACAACTACCATCCTATATCAACAACCACAACAACTACCATCCTATGTCAACAACTACAACCACCACCCTCTTATGGTCAACAACAACCACAAATAACTACCATCCTATGTCAACAACTACAAATTCACCACCCTCTTATACCGCAACAACTACCACTACCGCACATCACCCTCACTACCACCATACTTCACCACCACATACAACCACCATCACCACACACCACCACCACACACCATCACCACCACAATCACCACACACCACCACCTCACCACACCACCACCACCACTACACTCCATCACCATACACCATCACCACGAAACACCAACACACACCATCATCACAATCACCATCACCACTGGCTAATAATTACCACCACCATTCTCACCACACATCACCATATACCACCACAAACCGTCACCACATCACTACCACCTCACCACATCATCACACATCACCACACATGCTACAAATCACCACATCACTACACTCTACTCACCACACACTACACACCACCACACATCACTACACTCTACTCACCACACACTACACACCATCACACATCACTGCACTCTATTCACCACTCACTACACACCACCACACATCACTACACTCTACTCACCACACACTACACACCATCACACATCACTGCACTCTATTCACCACTCACTACACACCACCACACATCACTACACTCTACTCACCACCACCACCACCACAAACTACACACCCTCACCACACACACCACCACAAACATCACCACCAAACACCACCACACACCCTCACCACACACCATCATCACACATCACCGCACACCATCATCACACACCTCACCACACACCACCACAAACATCACCACCACACACCATCACCACACACACACCATCACCACACACCATCACCATCTCTCACCATTATTGCCACACACTTTACATAGACAAGTTTATGCCCCCCAGAATGGTAATTTCCTCGTCTTTGAGTGTGGTCGACGTGACACAGTTTTATCGTGGCTGTGTTTCCTGTGTCGGGATACTACTACTTCCTCTCTCAGCCCATAGTGTGTCCTGGAGCTGTCTGTCTGGTGTTCCTGAAATTTTTTTTTTTTTATTACAAGCCTGATATTCGGTGATATTTTGGGCGGGCTCCTCATAAGCTGGTCTGAAACTGTGTGTATGCCGGTTTATTTTTCTTATGGATCAGCTCACCCGGACACAGGTCACAGACGGACATCAGAGCGGGGGGGGGATACAGAAATATAAAAAAGTAAAACATATCAAGAGTGATAAACGCTACATATGTTGTGTTGACAAAGTAAGAGAAACAATTGAGACCCTGCAATTGTGTGTAAATAAGGCAGAAAGTCAAATCAGCAACCTGGGACTTGGTCACATATGGCAGCAGGGTCTACCATTAGACAACACATTATGCTTCCAATATCTTCCCAGGCGGTAGTACCTCCCTGTTTGGTGGCTGCCTACTACCTCTGGCTGTCCTCTCATTCGGTCGTTTAGGCCTATTGAAGTGAGTCCTTGTTGTCTTAGGAGTAACACACGCACACACACAATAAGCCAGGCAGGCGTTCTCTCTGTTTGCATTCCATAGAAAAATATTGATATTAGAACCTTATAAACGTCCTGTGAATTGTTGGTAGTGACTCGCTCCCTCTAACGCGGGGATAGGGAAGGGGAGGGATGGGGGAAGGTAAGGAAGAGAGGGAAATGGAGGTGTGTGTGTGTGTGTGTGTGTGTGTGTGTGTGTGTGATACTCCTGAAACAACAAGGACTCACTTCAATAGGCCTAAACGACCAAATGAGAGGAAAGCCACAGAAGTCCTACACAGTTTTCAGACCAGCTAAGAGAAGCCTACAACACTTCACCAATCATCGGGCGAGTAGAGTCGGACAATACGAAATTTCATTACTTTTTTTTTCTATGTTCAATAACGACCAGACAGACTGATAGACAGGGAGCTCCATCACACAAAGAAGTTGACAGAGAGAGCAGTGGTGAGGGAGAGGGAGGGACGAAAACGAAATTGGGAGAGGAGGGTGGGGGAGAGGGAAAGAGGTTAGGGCTGGAGAATGGGGTGTGGGAGCTAAAGAGGGTGGGGAGAATGAGGGAGAGGGAAAGAGGTTAAGGGTAGAGAAGGGAGTGTGGGAGAGAGGGGGGATTGACAAAGGTTGGGGAGAGAGTTAAGAAGAGTCAGTGAGTTAGGAGAAGAAAGTTGGGGAGAGGGAAGAGGGGAACGTGGACAGTGGGAAGGAAGAGATGAGAAGAATAAGGTAAATGGGGATAATTTGGGAAGGTTACTCGTCGACGTGTGTGTGTTTTCCTTTACTATTTTAGTTCATTTTGATTGGTTCTTTGCGGGGCACTTGTGGCTTTCTGTCTGGCTGGCTGTCTTGTTTAGTGGTTGGTTGGGTAGCTGTCTGGCTGGCTGAATAGCTAACTGAGTGGTTGTCTGTCTGGCTGTCAGGTCGCGAGTTCTCTTAGACTGGTCACTCCCAGTCGACCCAGCTGTATAATGGGTACTTAACTTTCAGGACTAAGACTCAGACACGTATGTTAGATCGTCCCCTGTTACTAATTGGCTCATTTTTTAAGCTACGACATTCAAAAGGCCACCAAATAAACGTGGAAAACGTGTTAGAAATTTTCCATAGGATTTACCGTACTTTCTCTTAGGGAGATTAATTAATTTACCAAGATCTGAGAGTCTTGTTTCTGTACGTCTGTTTTTATTTTTATCACAGTTTAATTACTGTAATTATTTTCTTTGTCTTGCTCCCAGCTTTGTCTTTTAAGTTATTTTGGTCTCGTCCTCAGCTCAACACAACAAAGTCGTTGTTTCATCGCTTGTCAGCAGCTTGACACTACAAAGTCGACGCTTCATCGTTCTGATGGTGGCCTACAGTATACAAAGGTGGCCCCTACTTGCTTTATAGTTCCTTGGAGAGGTCTGTTTTTTACATGTTTTAGGTGTTGAGGCAATTTGTTTTGTGAGGAGAAAAATGAAAAAAAAAAAAAGTGTCCGTCTAATAGCTCTCTCCTTTGTTTATTTGTTGGGGTTGGCCTCTGATGTGTCCGGAGTCAAGACGAACGGGATGTGCCCGAGACTGAGAACGGGGAGCAATAGGATAGTGCAGTATGGGATTCCAGATAAGACGAGTCAAGAACACAGTGAGGTATCCGAGACTGGGAACGAAGGGCAGTGGCAGGTATTCACGTCACATGCTAGATCACTAAGTGCTTCACAAATTATATTTTTATTAACTTGGCTTTCTGCTACGTCGGAATTATTGACCCCCAAGTTTAAAACCTTTTGAGGACAATGGCTTAACCCTTTCGTCTTCATATTGAAGCGTGACTTAAAGCTACTCACACGGTCATTTACACCCAGCAGTGTGTTATGTTGTAATTCTCAAGGGGCTAAGTCACCGTTCTCAAGAGGTCAAGTTATCATACTCAAGAGGATAAGTCTTAAAGACACACACACACCCTACTACTTCTACTTTGCTGTCACTTGGAATCGAGTATGACGATCATCCAGCTATGATGCAATGATTTGAATTATTAAAGATGTCACCTTCGTTGGTGAGCTCTGAGATGACGCGAGAGGCCGAGACGGGACCAGCTTGTCTGCCTCGGCATGCAGTCGAGCTAACTCGAAAGTAATGACACATTTTCGAGTGGTACTCCTTCAAACGTAATGGTGTGGAGTGATCGTCTCCCAGGTGAGGGGGTCGATTTGGTTCTTTTCAGGTTTGTCTTAAGACTATCTTTATACCTTTTACGTTGCCCGCCAGCGGTACGTTTACCATTCGTTAAGGGACTGTAAAGTAGCAGCTTTGGCAGTCTACTGTTGTCCATGCAGATAACATGGCC